TCTATAGCCGTCCGTTAGAGGTTAATGTGTGAAACGGTACCACCTGAAGTCACTTTTCTCTTCTCCTCGCCCACAGCCACCCGATTGTGTCGTATGTTGTTTTAAGCACGACCGGTGTTGATCTACGCGGAACACTTCCCTTATTTATCTAAACTTTATTGGTTCGTCTTCACAGAGTTTTCCACTGCGCGGATCCCGGTACTTCTTGCATAGTTCAGTTCATTTTTGGCCTTCTTCAGCTTCGTGAAATACTTATTGAGCGCCTCTCTGCAACCTCGAAGATAACCTAACTGTGACGTTCCTTAGGTCGTCGTTCTTCACTGCCGGAGTGAGCTGAGGGTGTAGCTCTGCCCCACGCGCGCTCTGGCTATAATTACAACCACTCGACCACGGCGCTCAGTACTTTTCTTTACCAGAAGATTAGTTTTGAGAATAAAACTGTAGAGAATTCCTTCTTCACACTTAGCAAACTTTCCGAATTGCCGTCGCAAAATCTCTCCATCTGGCAGAATATCAGCTATCACGATAGATTTATTATATAGCATAACCAGGAAATTCAATCTATTTGATCGAAGGGTTTCGCACAATTTTATATTTGGAATGTTATAGTGTTTTGATTCAATTTTGGCCAGCCAAGCTGTCTCTGGCTGCTATCGTGAATGTGCTTAATGGTAGGCTCTCGAGTCGTTTGATCAAAATCATTGCCCATGGCCATTTGACTATCTGCGGATTCTCGTAAAAACTGTTTGTCATACCGGTTCCGATCTACCCTCAATGTTTTCCTTTACAAAACATAGTATAATGAAATCTGCCAAGAATTCCTTTGCAGTCAACAAAGGTATCACTGCCGTCCTGGAGTCTCTCAATTTGGCTTAATATCATCTCCGGCGTTCCACTTGTAATATTTCATGTTCAGTATGTTCAATTAACTCGGCGTCTACAGATGTTTCTGATCATAAGGGAACAAATGAAAAGTCAGTCTCTTGTGCTATAGAGGAAATTTTCATAGAAGTGTCAGTAAACATTCGAAAGCTGAGACTTGAGGCTACCGCCCCACGTTGCCGATTTTCAAAAACACCCTTTTCTCATATTGCAACATTCAAAATAAATTGAAGTTTTATAAAACCACGTGTTTTTTCTCGTACCTCGCTGGACAAAACTCCTTTCTCAGAGTGCTAGTCCTCACTAATAATGTGTTCGCTTTTCTTTTGATCTCCTTTTGTCTTTGAATTGTGCTTTGTTTTTCGCCGTTAAAGCTCTTTCCTTAGACTATTAGTAATCATCTGATAGCGTAATGTTTTCTGATTCCAGCGATGTGCTCATTTTCTGGAACGGTTTAACAGGGAGAATAAAATAGAGTTTCACATTCTTGGTAACGTTGTTTACAAGCTATTCGGCAAGGCGAGGGCCGTGGTAGGGTCATGGCAGGGGTAGGACGGGGCGGGCGATCGATGTTTTGTTATTCAATTGGAAATTTTTCCTCTCTTTTGGAACAAACTCTGTATAAAAAGAATGGCTAGGATACTACGAACATTCCGACACTGATATAGACTCACGAACACACTGATATGCTTTTTTTCTTATGCTGCCGGCGAATTATACGCTTTATAAAATTGAAGGAAATGGCGGGTATGAAACATAAATTCTGATCTGGATGCTACAACGTTGTAATGGAGTGCCTTGAAAAACCGACGACGTGGGCGGCAGTCTCAAGTCTTAGCTTTCGATTGGTTACACTGCTATGTAAAGTTCCTCCTTAGCGAATGAGATACATTTTTCATTTGTACCCTCATAATCAGAAAGAACCGTCCTTACTTTTTCCTAGAATCTGTGCAGCGCCGTGATTGAGGGTGCCATGCATCGCACACAACGACAATGGTTCGATCCCGCGCTAATGGCTCACGAATCCACTCCTCACCCCCGCCCCATTCCTCCACCCCGGCTCCGTGAGGTCAAATTACGTTTGTCTGAGACGATAGTAGCATTTACTTAATGCAACGGTAGCCTACAACGAGCTAGTGTAAAGACCAGATATGAACTGAAATACCTCAAACAAAGCTAAAATCTGAAGAGTGATGTAGGGCGCGTTCCTCAGAGTTTTATCAACACCGAAAGCTTTATTGTCTATAATATTCCTAGCTACTCCTCCTCCTCCTAGCGATGTCTACATGTGCCTCTGTAGTGTCCAATACACTGTCATTTCCCAGTAAAGTAAAGTAGTCGATTGCGAAAATCGAAAAAACGAAAGGAGGGTGGGTAGATCAAAGAGTCCGTGGACCACGCCCCTTTATCGATTGCGAGCAACACCTTTGCCAGCGATCGTCGCCCAGTGCGTGCGTTCCTAAGAATAGATTTTATTTTCTCACATGACTTGCTGCTAATATTTCAGGCATTTCTGTCCTGGTTTTACCGGCATTTCTTTCACTTTCGCACTCCTCAAACGTCTCCCTTCAATCACTGAAATTTTTGAAGTATTGAGATGTAACGGCCTTCTTTACGTCAGAAGGATTTCCACATTTTCACACTCGAAATGTTGTGTACTGCGTCTGTACGTTGCAGACATCTGCTTTGCGGGATTTCTGATCTACCAGACAACTTTCTGATGGCTTTCACCTTCGAATCATGCAGAAGTTGCTCATTTGCTCATAAGAGAAAATACACTGTTCTCATTTTCCAATAAATCTTGTAGTGGTAGTAGCCCTATAGCCGCTATCAACGTTAGTTTCTGGTATTGACATACTGGGTTGGCAGTAAATTTTCCGGACTTTTTCGTTTTTGTTGACTGCTTTTCATGCACTTCAGTTTGTCTGTGCAATCGTTTGGAGCAGTTTCTTAAGGTTATTCTGATATATTACACTTACACATTTCGTTTCGAGTGTTTCATTAGACCACTCTCAATTTTCAATGTGCCTGATAATCAAATTTCGAGCCGTGCATGTGATCTGCTATAGCGCAGCTTATAGATGTAATAATCTGGAATACTAATATCCTTGCTGCTTTTATTCGCGTGTTATGATGTTACATATATATTTAGGAGAAATGAGTGGTGAGCAAAACTATGGCCTCACACTGGAGTCGAACACGCGTTTCATCCATACGCTCGCTACCACTACACATCACCGAGGCACATCTGCGCCACCACTCATTCTTCAACATCTCTATGTTAACTGTCACCTACCAACCTTTAACAGGTTTGGTTGGGTTGCGATTTCGCCCCATAAACCTTCACTCCCTTCTGAGTATGTATTTTTGCTTAGCACTTAATTCTCTTAGGTATATATGCAACATCATAACACTGCGAAAAAAGCAGTAAAAATATCAGAATTGTGGAGTATTACATCTAACAATGGCTGTCAGCTCAACTGGGTTTATGAAGCGAAATCGCATTTCCAACCAAACCTGTTAGATGTTGGGGGCTGATAGCTAACATAGAGATGTTGAAGGATGAGTGGTGGGGCAAATGTGCTTCGGTGATGCAGTGGTAGCACGCGTCCCGGTATGGATGAAACGCGGGTTCGACTCCCATGAAAGACCAAAATTTTGCTCACCACTTGATTCTCTTAGGTATATACGCAACTTATAGAGTCCGATACACGCGTTTCAGCCTTGACAGCCAAGGCCCACACGCAATGGGAGGCCGAAACACCTGTGTCGGGCTCTAAGTTGCTTAATACAAAACCACTTGCTGGCTCAGAAAATAATTATGGGACTTACACATCTGTTTTGAAATGGAATTGTCTCGAGAGCAAAAATCATTGTTGATCCTACGCGAGTATCGTTCGGGTTAAAGTGGTGCTGCTTTACTAAGCCACGTTACTCATGTAGGTGTTATATATCAAGAGAACCGTAAGAAGCTGCTCTAAACAACAGTAAAGACGAGAACTTAAATGCTTGAAAAATTTTCAACGAAAACGAGGAGGTACGGAAAACTTGTCCAATTCAATATTTAACAAAAGCCGAAGTGTCGCCAAGCTGTGATTGACTGTGACGGTCGTGATTCTGTTGAACGGTACCCTCTGGAGACATTCCATCAGATTTCATTGCCCACGGCCATCCGATTGCCTGTCGTATGTCGTCAGCCACTATGGATCTGATCTACATACAGCATTTTCCTTCCTCGGAAAAATAGTTTCGAGTATGAAACTGTGCATTACTTTTTTACACTCGTCAGACGTCCCGAGCTACCGTCCTGAAATCTCTCCATTTGCATGACTGTCATCTACGACGGTAGATTCGTTATATAGCACGAGCAGAATGTTCAAACTGTTCTCTCTACAATTGTTCCTTCTTCTCTTTCCCGTTGTCGATGTCTACATTTGGTGTACCAGTGATGTACAATAAAGATTATTTTCTAGTAAAGTAGGAGCGTATATGGCGCAGTGGATAGAAATGCTCTACGTCGCACACAAAGTCCATGGCTCGATGTCGCTCTCATGACTCAGCAAGCCATCCATCCCCGGGGGTTGGTAAAATGGTGCCAGACGGTTCTTAAACTTGTTTGGCAGGATAAGCAGCACTGACTCAATACAGCGCGAGGTCACCGCGAGTCATTGTAAAGACCAGCCATGAGTTCAATCACCTCAGGCGATATGAAAATTGAAGACGAAGCTGTGACCTACCCCTAGGGGTTGATCAACGCCGAGAGCTTTATCCTTCACCTTTTCAAGGTAAGGTGGTCGATTGGTTAAAAAAGTGGAAGGAAAGCGGGCAGATCAACGGTTCCATAGATCGCGTCCCATTATCGATGGCGAGCAGCTCCAGCGATCGTCGTCGAGTCCGCGCACCCCCATCCTTTTACTTTACTCTACTCTCTCTCTCTCTCCTTCTCTCTCTCTCCCCCTCTCTCTCTCTCAAGATCCGCTCCTCACATTATGAGCATGTTTTTGCACTACGTTTCATTCACTTCCGCTCTCTTCAGAGGGCTCCGTTCAATTATCAGAAGATTCCATGTATCAAATGTAAAGACCTCCTAATCAGAGAACTGAGGATGAGAAAACATTCGACCGCAGGCGGGAGTTGAACCCGCATCTCACTTATACCAAGGGCGTGTGCTACCACTGCAAGACAGAGCCACGTTTGTGCCCCCACCCATTCTCCAATATTTCCATGATAGCTATGAGCCACCAACCTTTAACAGGTCTGGTCGGACATGCGATATTGCTTTATGTGCGCTATGTGCTTCTGTGGTATAGTGGTAGCACGCACCGCCGGTTTGGGTGAAACACGGGTTCAACTCCCGCCTGCGGTCGAATGTTTGCTCATCACTCAATTCTCTTGAGTTTATTTGAAACATCATCACCTGTCACCTGTCGTCCCGTTGATCGTCGAGTGACTCGAGCGGGTACCAGCAACTCTTCCATTTTTCCCTATCGCGTGCAAGAGTAGCCCAGTGGGACCTCCTTGCTCTAGGAATTCGCTGAGCATCATATCTTTCTTCCATCGCTTTCGTGAAGAAATCGGAACAACGGGTCAGTGGTCTTCCTTTTGAGCGCTTGACGTCCCGAGGAATCCAGTCGGTAACGGCTCTCGTCCATCGGTTGTCGTTGAAGCGCATCATGTGTCCGGCTCACCTTATTTTCGACATCCTGGCGTGTAAAACGGCGTCTCTGATTTTCGATCGTTGACGTAGGTCGGAACTTCGGATCCTTTCTCTCATCTGCGAAATACGCGATACTTCTAGCATCGACCTTTCGACTGCGCGTTCTATAACGGCAAGTGATCTTTCATCCTGCTTACGTAGCGACCAGGTTTCTGCTGCATACGTTAGGGCAGGGATAATTGTCGAGTCGAAAAGGTGGGCACGGAGTCGGATGTTCTTTGTCCTCTTCACTACATCTTCGATGCTCTTAAACGTTCCCCAAGCCGCTCGTTTCCTCCTGCTCAACTCTGGGGCTAGGTCGTTCATCATGTTGATTTCACGACCTAGATAGATGTAACTGGAGCATTCGGAAATTGTCGTTCCGTTGAGCGTGAATGGGGCATTAGAAACCCATCCGTTCCTCATGAACATTGTTTTCGTTAGATTCAGTTGAAGACCGATCTTTCCACAGGCGTTATCGAAATCAGTCAACATTCGTTCCGCTTGGCTGATGTTTGGTGTTATGAGAACGATATCGTCAGCAAAGCGAAGATGGTTTAATTGTCGACCGTCAATTTTCACTCCCATTTCGTCCCATTCTAATGATCGCATGACGTTTTGTAGGGTGGCAGTGAATAGTTTTGGCGATATTGTATCGCCTTGTCGAACCCCTCTTCTTACGTCAATGGTGATGTTGTTGTAGAATGGAGATATTCTGGTCGTGAAATCTTTATAAAGCTCACGAAGGATCATCATGTACCGAGTAGGGACGCCCTGGTTATCCAGAGCCTCCATAACCGCTTCTGTTTCCACTGAATCAAAGGCTTTCTTCAGATCGATGAAAGTGAGACAGAGTGGTTGTTTGTACTCTCGCGAAACTTCAATGAGTCTTGTGATCGTGTGGATGTGGTCCATGGTACTAAATCCTTTTCTGAACCCTGCTTGTTCGCATGGCTGTCCTTCGTCCAGTGTTCTGTCAATCCTGTTCAGGATGACTCGAGTAAAGAGTTTATAGACAACGGACAGCAAGCAGATTGGGCGATAATTGCCTATGTCGTGAAGGTCTCCCTTTTTGAACAACAATACGGTCTTGCTGGTTTTCCATTAAATAGGGACCTTGCATTCTGACAGGTAGCGAGTGAAGAGCCGAGCCAGGGTGTTGATGAGAACTGGCGGCAGGTTGTTTAGGTGTTCTGGTCTAATCCTGTCTGGACCGGGTGTTGTTCTGTTTTTCACCGACGATATAGCATGTCGGATTTCGGAAGGAAGGACCGGTGGAACGACATATTCGTCCTCTTTCAATTTATATGACGGTAAGAGAACATGGCTAGCGAAGAGATCCGAGTAGTACTGGTGGATGATTTTCTCCATAGCCCTTCTGGAAGCTGTAAGTGTCCCGTCAGGGTATCGAAGTGCAATCATCTTGGTCTCATAGTTGGCGAAGCCTCGCTGGGCTTTGCGAATGCTCTTCCCAGCTTCTGCAGCTTCTGCCATAACTGCTGCTCTTCTCTCTTTAAGGCTTCTTTTATCGCTTCTCTGCATCGTTTCGCAAGTTCGGACGTAAGGTTTCGGTTGCCTGCAGCTCGTGCGATTCCACGTTGACGTATCAGCTCGAGTGTCTGCGGAGACAAGCGTCTCTTCGTGACCTTAGGACTCTCGGCTTTTTTAGCGCTAACGTGAAGATATTCAAGGAGTCGATCGTATTCTTCGTCGATGTTGTCGACAACGGTATCTTCCCAAGAGCCGACTAATGATTTGAATACATCACAGTTTATGGTAGTTCTGGGACTTCGTTGTTTGAATTTAGCGGCTTTCTCTCCTCTCCTCGAAAATCGGAACGTGCGCGAAGGAGGCGATGGTCTGATTCCGTGTAGAACTTGGGAACAACAGCGACGTCGGTCAGGCAAAACCTTCGATTTACTATAATGTGATCTATTTCGTTATGGTACTCTCCATTGGGAGACTCCCACGTCCATCGCTGAGAAAGAGGCTTTTGGAATTGCGAGTTTCCATGGATGGTTTGGGTCGTCATGATAAACTCGGATAGCCTCTCACCCTGTTCATTCCATTCTAGTCCGTGGGTCCCTATGTGACTTTCTTCAGACGTTCTTCTAGGTCCAATTTTTGCGTTAAAATCTCCGACAATGAACTTGAAGAATGTATGATCTTCTCTGAAGAATTTTTCGAGGTCCATATAGAACGCTTCGACTTCGTCTTCGTCATAGCTTGATGTTGGTGCGTAAGCAACGAAAATGGTCAAAGCCGGCATAGAACCACATCGTTTCAACCGTAATCGTCCGATGCGGGTTGTTAGTTGTTCGAACGAATCAATGTTCACGGTCAAATTCGATTTGACGAGGACGCCAACGCCACCGACACCTCTGCGATCGCATGTTCCAAGGAACAGTTCTTCTCCGGTGTCATAGACAGCGTGAAAAGGATGGCGCCTTCTCGTCTCAGCCAGGCCAATGACGTCGTACCTTATTCTTCTTGCTTGAATCAACAGATCTTCTACAGCGGATTGTTGAGCAAGGGTTCTTGCATTGTAGGTACAGATCGTCATTTTAGTCCGTTTCGATCTTGGCAGCCTAGTTCGGCCCTGAGATTTTAGCAGCCTCTCCGTACTCGTCCTACCTGGCGCTGCCGTACCAGGGGCTCTTTCGGGGTCAGGGGAATGAGGCCCATATTTGTTACTGTTTTTGGCATTTTTGATACCCAACGTGTAGCTTGCCAGGCTCTAAACGTGGGGGCTGGGTACTCACGAGTAGCTTGCCAGTCTCTCTCGGAGGAGCGGGAGGAGCTTATTTGTTGGAGGCGACTCCTAACCGCCTCCCATGTACTTCCCAGCCGCTTGATTGCAGGCTTTTGGCCGACTTGACTCGTAGAAATAGAGTTTTGTCAAGTCGGCACTGCAGAAGCAGGGAGCTCGTCCTCTGAATCCACCTGCGTCTCTGGGAAGCACACGGTCGCTTTTGGTTCGCGTTTTATTCCCCTATCCACCACCTGGGGACGCGCCACGTGCCCTCGCGACTAACCGGGCGGGATCCCTCAAAGAGGGAGGTCCGTGGTTGAAACATCATAACAATGCGAAAAAAGCATTAGAAGTCCTGTGGAACGATCTATTTTTTTTCATCACCTATACTTCCATACTTTCACCTGGAACTGTAGTGGTGTCTTGCATGTGTTCGTTGCACACATCTACTTTTGTTCATTTGATTGAAATTTTTGATCTACCAGCCAATATTCAACGGCTTTTACCTTCAACCCATGAGGAAGCTGCTCATCTGCTTCCAAGAGAAAACACACTATTCTCGTTTTCTAAAGCACCCTCAAATGCTAATGGTTCGCTAATTACACAAATTTCTAGCATTAATATATTTGACGAAAGCCGAAGCGTTCGCCAACCTGTATTGATTGGATGGTGGTCACGAATGTGTGACACCTTACAAGCTGGAGTCAATCTCTGGAGATTTCATAGTCCACGGCCATCCGATTGTCTGTCGCGGTGTCGTATGTCGTCAGCCACCGATCGATATGATCCACACACAGTGCTTTCCTTCTCCGGAAGATCGGAATCGAGAATGAAACTGTAGAGAGCTCGTTTACAATTATCAGTCATCCCGAACTGCCATCCTGAAATCTCTCCATTCGGCTGAACATCGTGTACGACGATCGATTCGCTGTATAGTACAACCACATGCTTGTTCTACTTGGTCTATACCTTTCCCTCTCCTGTTTCCCTTTTTTGATGTCTACATTTGGTGTACTAGTAATGTACAATACATTATTAGTTACTGGTAAAGTGGGGTAGTCGACTGAAGAAAATCGGAAAGCTTAAGATCGGAGGCGGGTAGATCAACGGATCCAAGGGCCACGCCCCCGTCATCGATCGCGAGCACCATTTTAGCCGGCGATCGTCGTCGCGTCTGCCGCTCCTAACCGTGCTGTTAATCCTTCTCATAATTCGCTCTTAGATTTTTCAGCATTTCTGTCGTGTTTTGCCCCACGTTTCTTTCACTTCAGCACTCGTCAAATCCCTTCGTCCAATCATCAAAAGATTCAAAGTATCAAAATGCAACGGCCTCGTTCTTTACAGGACTTCCCGCAGTTTCATACCCAGAATCTTGTAGTCTTGCGTCTGCCCTTTGTAGACAGCTACTTTCATTCATTTGATGAAGAAATTTTGGTCATAACCCATCTGTATCTTGATGGTTTTTTTCTATTGAACTATGCAGCAGTTGCCCAATTACTCGTAACAGGAAATACGCTCATCTAATCTCTATCACTCCTTGAACAGCTAGTGGACCCATTATTGCTAAGAGCATAATTTTCTTCTAAATAAACCCGACACGTTCCTTTTCGAACTCGTTCTGTCTTTACATAAGCCTGACACGTTGCATTTTGTAAAAGAAGATGCTTGCCTACCATAATAGCCTCACAATTCTAGACGGGGATAGAGTGTGTAGAGAGACGTTGTTACTGAAATTTCTATTA